AAAGTTTTTGTTGCTGTGGTCTATCCCTGAGAACGGATGTCTTGAGAAACACTCTTCATGTTTTTTAAATCTCCTCTCTACTGTTAAGAAGAATGTGTTGGTGGGCGATAATATGAGATGTTCCACTATCCCTGACTTCCTGGTTAGGAAAAAAAGGCATTTATAGGTTTTGAAGATGAGTGTGAGATTTTCAGAAGATTGCCGGCTTCAGTATTCACAGTTTATAGCATCACCTGAGTCTATGATGCTGGGACCCTCGGCTCTCAGCTTGTCCCAGCTTCTGTGTCCTTGCTTTCTCAGAATACCGCTCTCCATCTTAGTATCATCGTGTTTAAAGAACTGGTATTAACCAAGTTTAGGCCTTGTGACTGTTGCTACCTGAGTACCAAGTAACCCCAGCCTCGTTGATGAGGCGCTGGCATCATTCTGAGCAATAAGGGAGACGTAGAAAGCGGTGCTCTGTGAATCGTTCGTAGATGTAGGTGACTTGGTTTTTGTCTTGGAGAACAGCATGAAATAGTCCACATCGCAGTTATGATTTTAGAAAGAAGATTAAGCATTCCACTAATCAGCCAAGTAACTTGTCTCCTTACCTTGAAATATTTATTTAGAGTTATAACCCCAGAGTTCAGAATTCTCAAGAATAGACTCAGTAACCTAACATGTAGCATCACCATTCATGTGAACACCTGTTATCCAGTGTGATACTGAATAGAAGATATATTTTTATGCAGTGTGGTAAGGCAACCCCTATAGAAAGAGAAAAACCATAATGAGAGAACAAAGTCTTCAGGACAGAATGCATACAAATTCACATTTTAACTATACCCAGAATGAAGCATGTAGCATTCTTATTCTTAGCTGTTTTCTAACTCAGTAAAATGATCTTTTACAACAAATATTCTGCCTGTAATAGTACTTTGGAACCGTGGACAAAAACCAAAAGACTAGCCCCTCCATTTATTCCAAGTAGGTGTATGGGATTGAACTGGAAAGTTATCTGAAACATAATTCATTGGCCAAATTTTGAGTGGGTATGGAAAACAACTCCAGAGATCAGTGGGTTTTGTGTGAGTGTGTTTAATTATATTCAGACTGGAGTTCTGTGATTAAAATTATAATAAAGTATTTTTTATCTGGAAGGACATTGATGTATATTCGAATTCTTGGAATTTTCTAGTAAAAAGGGAAGACACTATTCACAAGCTGGTTTTGTGTGTGTGTGTGTGTTGTTTTTTTTTTTTTTTTTTTTTTTGGAGGTTTTTTATTTTAGGCGGGGGGAGCTG